GTGACCCAATATTCCATGGACGTGAGATTACTAGTTATTTTCAGACTGAGAACAAGTCGATTGCACATAAGTTATCTGTATTCGAAGGTGCTTCGTTAGGGGGCATCAAAGTTTTCTTTTAAAAACACGTTTTCCAAGATATTTCAAAAGCCGGTAGGTCGATTTTAATGAAATTTGGAACACATATGCTCTGCTCAGCGTTCTAATATTTGCCTTTTACGAAAAACTCCAGAGCTTTTTGGAAGGGTGAAAACTACCCCCACACCTACATAAATTGTAGCAGAATTTTTCCCAACTTTCCTCATGACCGATTTTTTTATTTATTCCATCCTTTGTCTCTCATTAAAACGAGATATCTTTCATAGTTTTCGAGAAAAAAAAACCTTTTTTGGGGCTGGTTTCTAAAAAAATGTTTTAACACATCAAGCGTAAAAATCTAGTTGGCAAATAAACGAAGCACTTTTGCATAGAGGTGACTTATGTCAAATCGACTTGTTATGAGTCTAAAACCTGATTGGAAAAACATTTTTTTCCGAAAACTAGTAATAATAATCGTAATCATAATCATAATCACAACCATAATCGTAATCATAATTATATTAATAATGATAGTAATCGAACAAATATATTATTGCTGCATTACGGTACTCTCGGTCACGGACGCCCCTATTATAATGCCTGACGGCGAACTGGGCCGCACCAGACATAGAAAGGTGAAAAGCCGATCCTCTAACACAGCAAATATAATAAAATACCTAATACAGCGATGCCAATATTAAGGAGGATCTAAAAGCGATAATCTGGATACTGAATACCCGGCAGATGACCGATCCACTGTAGACCTGACTGGTAATATTTGATAATATACGGGCTGAATACCCAAGCGATCGTGAGTCCACCAAATCGGCGCGGCAAAACCCTGAACTACGGTACCCAAATTCGGCGAAAAACATGATCTAGGTCATCCCTCTGAAATTTTGCCAGGTGACAGAGGGGGGCCTGAGGGGCCGATAGGTGGAATTTGCGATAGGTCCTCCTTATACGGAGGACCTATCAGAGCGGAGGACCTATCGACTCTAAAAAGCCCATGAGTGGAGGACCGATCCATCAGAATCTACATATATATATATATATATATATATATATATATATATATATATATATATATTATACCTAATGTACTCCTGTGCTAATAATTGTCTATTATTTAGATGCAGATGAAAATACAATCGTAAAAATGTGGCGTATGAGATTCCAGTGGCGCCAATTTAAAAAGACATCGTTATGTATTTCAAAACTGTCTAATGGCCCGAATGCCTCGTACGTGCTCAGAGCTTGACCCTAATTTCGATCACTCTCAATGTTCTATTGGGGAATCTGACCGTAATCGCGTGAACGTCACGTCGTTTTCAATAAAACACGGCCTGCTCACGCCTCCCTGTGTCGGGTGGCCAGTGCGTGCCATCGGTACCTGAATTATTCAAAATTACCAATCATGGTCGTACTATTTTGTATATACGGGGGTTAGTCTTAAAATATTATTTGGCACTCATCCTTGTTGTTTAACTTCCAACCCTTAGGGCCGGCCTATCAATGCATTTATTGACTTGGACCTTGACTATTTTGTGACTTTATCATTATCATACTTTTGAACCGTGTTTGTTCAAGTGTTTCAATGATGACCTTGGATTTGCCCTTCAACGTCACCTTCAACGTCACCTTCAAGATTATTTCAAGAACAACTCAAGACCTTTAGTAACTAGTACTTTATTATATTATATATATATTATACTATATACTTTATTCAATGTTGGCCTAGGATTTTACCTTCTCCCTCACTTCTATGGTCATAATAGTACATGAAACGTGACATTTTCCATTGCAGGTGTCGAAGATGAGAGTTCGCACTTAAAAATGACCTTGAGATGGATTTTAAGGTAGAATCTAAACTCATCATCAGCATCCTTCTTATAACTTCCTAAAGAAGATTTTTTTCTATGAATGATTCGAAAAACTTTTACGAGTTTTCATTATCCTGACATATTTAACCATCATTTGAACTTCAGCGGTGACCTTGGTCTGAGACATTAATACACATTCAGACGCAGAATTGTCCATTCTTTTGACAACCGGTCACAGAAAAGAGGCTTCCGATTTACAACAACATCTGACCTTGAACTTACTTTTAAGCTAAGGTTCGAGGTCATGACCATGACCTTGCTCAAAAATACCTCACCTGGAAAAGTAAAGAGACGTTCGAATACTTCATAAAAGTGTTCTGAGTCAACTGTGTTGCTGATTGCTGAGATCTCGAAATGATTCCGGAGTCATATGAATGTTGCCTTAAAAGACAGTTTGGTACTTTTCTATAGTTTTCGCCTTGCATAATGAAAAACGGATCCCAGTAGATTTGTCTAGAGACTGGTGTATGAGGTATTTCTCGCTTTCATGAACAAACTTTCTGATTGCACTAAATCGGTACTACGATTAGATCCTGAGGTATACGGGGAGGCAGTTTGTCTAATTTACAAGAAAAAAAAAGTAGTGATCAGACCAAATACTCAGAAACCTGTTATACTAAAGAAAGTACTTCATTTGAAAAACTTTTATGAAGGGATGTTGTGAGGTTTCATATTGAGCTTGGCCATGATACTTACAAGGTCACTTTAAGGACAAGCTTATTTTTACACGTTGACGCTAAAATGGATCTGACATGAGTTTTTCGAAAAATCAAAGAAAATTAACTCAAGGGAAAAAGAGAAAAGTTGTGGTTGTTTAGTTCCCTTTGATTATGACCTATACAAGATCAAATCAAGGACCTGTTGATTTTGAAGGGGAGCCGAACGACAAAAATAAAAATCGATCAAGCTTCGTTATTTGAAGTTTCAGAGACGATCATTTTCGGAAAAAATCTTGTAAGAGATGAAATTCGATTGTTGGGGTTATAGTGAATGGGGGAGGGTATATGTCGATTTTTTGACTTATACACCTCCAGCCCTTATCATTCTACGTACCTTTCAGGCATAATTCATTCATCATATATTTCCTCGTACATTTATCCCTGAAACAGAATGGTGGAGTAGATTCGATCATATGCGAATGCAGGAGTTTTTCTTGGGGGAAGGAAGAAGGTCATCCCTCAACAAGAGAACTTTTGTGTGAAAGCGTCACTGCTTCTATACATACAGCTTATTTTCTAAAGAGCCCCAAAATTGTACAATAAAGAAACGTTGTAAATATGCAAATTTTATTTGTGTGAGTCCCTTTGACTAACCTGATCCGTTTAATTTTTTGTTATGCATGTTCGTAGCTAACTTTTATCTCGAAGAGACCAACTTCATGAACTGATGACAGCGTTGCTTAGGAAGTACATAGTCAAGCTACTTGACGCAATTTATCAGAAAGATAACGAACTCCAATCTTTTGGAGAGCATATTGAAAAAAAACACGTTTACCCAGGACTTGGGCGTCGCACTCATATCTGCAATAATGCTCATAATTTATTTCACAATCATCAGGTAAATCCTCGTGATTTTCATGAACTAATCGATAAGATATTCATTAGTACCGCCCATAAATTATAACTGGAGGATGTTATCTATTAATAATATAGCAGCTATTTTAGGGAGTCCGACATTCACTACATGCTGCGTTTGAGTGGTTTTTTCGAGGAATTTCAGATTTCTGCAGATCGGCAAACTTCATCTCCCTATTTGTCAGGAACTAATTATAGGATTGCTTTGGTTAGGTTAGAACTTTTTCAGAAACATCGACTGTGGCCCCATTTTATATATACAGGGTGTCCGCAAAGTTGGGGTTTTCCTTTTCAGAAACAACTACCCTTGAAATAACGAAGGTAATGTGTAGTGAAACGAGGGCGACCAAGTAAAAAAAAAATAAAGGAAAAAGTACTCACTCTCCAGTTGACGAGAAGGGCTAAGTACGTCTCTGCCCGAAATCATACCGCTCCAACAGAAAATGAAATCAGCTGATGCACTACCGCGCAGACGCCGGCGGTGGTGCAGACCACGAACAGAGGTAACAAATATGACAAATTTGGGAGAATAAATGGTCCAATGAGCATACCGATCACCATGCCAGCCCAAACATTCACCGAAAATGTTTGTTGAAAATGTGCCCGACGGACAGCGTGCGGATTTTCTACTGACCAAACATGAGTGTTGCGAAAGTTATTCACCCCATTACGCGTGAACGTAGATTCGTTTGTCACCAATATGGACTTTAAAAAGTCCGGATTATTGTCATGTTGATGCAACAACCACTCACAAAACCGCACTCTTCCTGGAAAATCGTCAGGTTGAAGGGTTTGTACACGTTGGATGTGAAACGGATACAGCCCCTCTTCACGCAGCGTTTGCCACACTTTAGTTTTTGATACTTGCACTTCTCTAACCACGTCTCTAGTGCTTGTTGTTTTTCGAAACGCAATCGATTATACGAGTTCGTTTACCTCTACACGCGTGACCGTAACCGTCGGTTGAAGGTAGCATACTGACCTGACACACTGACCCCGACCCACTTGTACCAGTCGGTGATATCGCGGGTCGCGGCTACAGGACCGTATTCAGATATTTTTGATGTTGCAGAGCCCTTTATCTCGGTTCCCTTAAGACATTGGTGTATATGGTACTAAGAAAAATTGCTTATGTTTTCAAGATCTACACGTCGTGTAAAGGAAAACCCCAACTTTGCGGACACCCTGTATTATGTGCAGGGTCCTTTGTTTACGCTCCCACTAACAGCACCGTGACCAACGTCGTAGCCGATTTAACATTCTGAGCCGGTAAAGTTGACAGCCTTCTGACATTCTCAGCCTTGCGGCGACCTAGTTGTCATCCAATCTCCTACACCTCACTATCATCAAACGCTAGCTTATGTCCTCGTACACGTACTTCACTTGGAAGTTCGAAGTTTAATGGACTTAGCCACTAAGCAAGTCTGTGCATTATAATTAGTTTCCGTCTTTCGATTGCTTGCAGGACTACTGTAAGAGGGACAAGGCCAAAGTTTGGCTCCATTACAAGCCATCGCTCTTCCAGCATATTGGCATACACTCTAGCCTGAAGGGAAAGGTGCAGAAACTTAAGGTGAGTGCAGTAATAGGCAAGATGCAAATATGTTATTTTTGGAAAATATAATATTAATAATAATCATCATAATAATCTACATACCGGAGAGACGTATGCCTATCTTGGAGATGAACAAAAGTCTGCATTCTAAGACTTCAGTGCCACATATGACTTCGAAGTTGAGTCATTTATTTTAACAGTGAGTAGATTTGATCAAAATCAATGTTTTTTTCCTTCAACATTTTTCTGGTAAAATTAAATTAACAAAGTTATAGCCCTTTAGAAGTTTGAGTACCGCCCTGTCTCAATAATAATATTATGTGCTCGTGTTTGGCAACAACGGATATAATCCGCCGTATCGGTTCATCGCATCGGAAACAAAAAAGCGAAAGAATTTGAAACGTTTATCACGATGTCAGTCAATGTTTCAGTCGGTAACGCGTGAGTGAATAGTGGTGTTTGTTGCGTGGCTCAAACGAAATAAAAAATGGCACATGTTTACGAAAATGCTGAACTTGTGAACTTGTGGACATGATTCTTATTTAATCGAGTGCAACCAACCCCTCATTATCTCATTATCTGAAAATTAATGACTCAACTTCAAAGTCACCCTGTATACCTTCCAAGATATCAGGGACGGCGTGGACTATTGAGCTAGGAGCTCCTACATGACAGGGTGGTACTGAGTACTGCCTGTGATGTTGTGAGGAATATCGATACCCTCATCCGCAGTGGCATTGATGTCAGTTATCGCGGGGATATTAAAATCAGCCTAAAACATAATTTTCCTCAAACAGTGTCGCGTCATAAGTCTTATTTACTGTATATTGTCGCTGACAAAGCCATATCAGCTGTTGGAGTATTATTCACCGACGTTTCAGTTTCAATAGTCAAATTTAATCTTCTATGAACGGTTCCCCATTTTTCGTACGGACCTCTTTTCATACGACTTAATTGGACATTTGATACAAATGTGATGCAACATCCAGCAAAAGCAGAGTTCTAGAAATCTCATTAAAAGTTTATAATGGATGCGGGACACTATTTGCCGGCCTCTTTGATAGAACTTTTTGCAATTAATTACGCAGTATGTCCCTTTGCTTGGATGTATAAGCAATTTGCCAAACAGTGCTTTATAAACGGAAGCAGTTTCGGAAACATGAAACTCGAGCGATTGTAGTTTCAAACTCTGTGAAGGGCTTTTGTTTTATATGCAATCCCGTTTAAAAAAACTACTTTCAATGTTCCATTTTTTATCAAATAGGTCGTGTAATGACTATCAGAAAATGAGCGTGGTTTTAAATTCTTTCGATGATTCGATTTTTTTGATATTTCCTTGATAGAAATGTTGCATTCTCTGAAAATGGAGTTAATTTTTGGATGGAACGTCATGCATAGAAAAACCTAGGAAAATCGAAATTTACTGATGCATTCACAAAATTATTTAATATTCGCTGGTAATTCTGGTCCCTAGTTTTCAAGAGACTTCTTCAATTACATCAGGGCCATTTCGTTTGGTGATAGGTCAGGAATATTTGACTTTTGTATGGAAGAAGCGTGCTTCCTTCAGAGACAGCCCAATATTTTTCGGCTATTCGACAATTTTTTGATTTTAAGTAGCCCTTTGGGGAATAAATATGAAGGTTTAGGCCCAGAGATAAGGCAGGCGACATGTTATATATACTAAGTGACATATAAATCCGAACACCCAGTTTAAATGGTTTTATTTTAATAAAAGTTGGTGAATGTATTTATCTTACTGTAAATAACAAGTGACAAAAATTTCAGCCTTATCAGTTGGACATTCCGATTTTTATACTGCTTTTTTTTTATTCACTAACGCTCTAAAAATGAATATTTCAGCCGCAGTAAAGAATCAACGTTGGCGGATTTTGGTTCTTGACATCCTTTACGATCGGTTACGATGCCTAGAGTACGGAGACCTGTACGATTTCGTCAACTTAGTGAGTTTGATAGGGGCCGTATAGTGGGACTTCGGGAAGCTGGACTTTCTTTTCGGGCAATTGCAGTTAGAGTGCAAAGAAGTGTAGACACTGTGATTAGGTGTTGTCAGGCATAGCTTCGAGAAGGCCGTACGCAAAGAGCAAGGGGCACTGGACGCCGCCGTAGAACAACAGACCGTGAAGATCGCCGCCTAAGATTATTGGCCTTAAGGGACCGTTTCTCCACTACCAGGTCCATTGCAAATGAATAGTTTGCAGAACACGGAAGACCTATTGGCATGCGAAGTGTTTACCGACGAATGAGAAGTTTTGGCTTGTTTTCATACCGGCCACACTGGGTCCTCCCTTTAACTCGAGAACACCGACGTAATCGCCTTGAGTGGTGCAGACAACGGTCACTCTGGGATCAGGAATGGAACAGTATTGTCTTTAGTGACGAGTCTCGATTTTTTTAGGCATGCACGATGGTCGTGCCAGGGTTAGAAGGCGACGTGGTGAAAGGAGGAATCCACAGTTTTTTGTTGAAAGACATGTTCATCACACTGTTGGAGTTATGGTTTGGGGTGCTATATCTTATGGTTCCAGGTCACCTTCAATCTTCATCAAAGGTAACATGAACACGCAGCGTTATATCCACGAAGTTCTAGAACCCCATCTTTTACCCTATCTTGACACCCTGGCAGATCCAACTTTCCAACAAGATAATGCCCGACCACATGTTGCAAGAGTCACAATAGACTTCTTTAAACATAATGATGTCACATTGTTACCATGGCCACCAAGATCTCCCGACTTATCCCCATTTGAGCACGTGGGGGATATGATGGGTAGGAGATTGCTCAATTTGCAACGTCCTCCTCCACCTGATCAGAAGCATGCCTAGGTGCGTTGGAGAATGCGTAGCACATCAGGGTGCATTCATACATTATTAAAGGTCAAAGGGCTTTAAAGCAGTGCAATCATTTTGAAATTTTTATCATTTACTTATTATGCTTCATTAAGTTCTTATACAAAATTTTATTAAAATAAAACCATTTAACCTGGGTGTTCGAATTTATATGTCACTTAGTATACTTTTATGAAAAGCTACGAGCAACCTTACTGGGTATCTGTGATGAGGAGAATGAATGATTGCATTCTAAATTATAAAACTATTCACTATCACCTCCGCTACAACAGAACAAACACCAGCATAAACCTCAAATAAAGGCACGAAAATTCATCGATCTTATGCTGATGTTTGTTTTGTGAAAACGTAAATTACTTTTGGATAGTAGTAGTAAACTTATTTTTTAGAATAGTAGTAGTAAAGTTATTGTAAATACAGAAGTCTGTCATCTATATTTGTTTAATCGAAAAGGCAATTTTTGATGATTTTCAGTAAGCTTTCTGTTCTTTTTTACAGGATAAGCAGTTTGGAAAGATCCCTTTGTTCTTTCCGCACACTAACCCGGAAGCAGAGGTTGTATCCGGGATAAAACACTACAAGCAGTATACTTTAGAAAGGGCCTATTTAGGAGAAACTTTCTTTTGGGGACTGTTGCCGCAGCCTGGTGATCAACTTCTATTCAGGTTCAGCCAACCCATAAATATCAAAAGGTATTTTCATTAGTTTACATGAACACATTAGAATAATTCCTCTATTTGAAGTTTCGCGGTGTCAGAAAACGTATGTCAGTCATATTGGAAATGCAAAGACCTCAACTCGCGTTTGACAACCCTGTCACTACCGTGACCGCTAGAGGCTGGCGATTATGGCAAAGGAGCCACATCTACTGTAGCGCAGATCGCGGTCATAGTGGGGCATGGCTATGAAACGCGAACTTTATCTTTACCATTCCAACCGAGAACTGCTAGATTTACAACGTGCCGTTTCTGCGATCCTGGCGCAGACAATCTAATCACTCTCTTCTTTTCTTGCAAAATTGTCGAAATGAATGGGTAAATATTTGGTAGCAGGATCACAGATACGCTAGGAGATATACGAAACGTATGGTGCTCCTGACACGAATTAGGCTGGAAACTCAAATTTGCGACGCGAAGTCTTCTTACCACTTCTGAAATCCTGATACAGAATTTTTAGGGGGTGACATTCGCACATCTGCCCAGCTTCCTTGAACAATCATAAAATAATAATTTGCTACCAGGATCACAGAAACGCGTGGAGGTATTCTAAACATGTTCTTCTGATGCGGAATCGACGGGAAATTCAGATTTACGACCTTCATCTTGCCGTTTGTGCGATCCTAATATAGAATTTTCAGACTTCATGCCATTTCTCTCCTGATATCGAATTTTTAGAGGCTGACATTCGCATATCTGTCCAGCCTCCTTGAACAATCATAAAATGATTATTTGCAACCAGGATCACAGAAACGCGTGGAGGTATTCTAAACATGTTTTTCTGATACGGAATTGGCGGGAAATTTAGATTTACAACCTCCATCTTGCCGTTTCTGCGAGCCTGATACAGAATTTTGAGATTCATAAAATTTAATAACTGTCCACTTTCCTTGCAAAATTATCGAAATGGTGAAACATTTGGTAGGAGGATTACAGAAACGCGAGGAGGTATACAAAACCTATGCTGCTCCTCACACGAAATTGACTGGAAACAAATTTGCGACGCTATTTCTGCAATGCTGATAAACATTTTTTAAATGCTGACATTCGCACATAAGGCCACCTGCCTTGAACAATCACTGCTGCTCCTGACAGAAACATGAGGAGGTATGCGAAACGTATGCTGCTTCTGATACAAAATTGACTGGAGACGCAAATTTGTGACGCGTATACCTGAAATCCTGATACAGAATTTTTAGATGGTGACATTCACACATCTGCCCAGCTTCATTGAACAATCATAAAATAACAATTTGCTACCAGGATCTCAGAAAAGCGAGGAGGTATACGAAACATACTATATGCTGCTCCTGACTCGAAATTGGCTGGAGACTAATTTGTGACGCGAATACCTCGTGCCATTTCTGAAATCTTGATACAGAATTTTTAGAGGCTGACATTCACACATCTGTGCAGCTTCATTGAACAATCTTAAAATAACAATTTGCTATCAGGATCACAGAATCGCGAGGAGGTATACGAAACATATGCTGCTCCTGACTCGAAATTTTCTGGAGACTCAAATTTGCGACGCGAATACCTCTTGCCATTTCTGAAATCCTGATACAGAACTTTTAGAGGTTGACATTCGCACAATTGACCACCTTCCCTGAACAGTCACAAACAAAATTTCTATCAGGATCACAGGATCGCGAGCAGGTATACAAAGCGGATGCTGCTCCTGACAGAAACGCGAGGAGGTATACAAAACGTATGCTGCTCCTGATACAAAATTGACTGGAGACTTAAATTTGCTACGCGAATACCTCTTGCCATTTCTGAAATCCTGATACAGAATTTTTAGTGGGAGACATTCGCACATCTGACCACCTTGAACAATCGTAAAATAAAAATTTGCTACCAGGATCACAGAAACGCGAGGAGGTATACGAAACGCATGCTGCTCCTCGCACGAAACTGACTGGAAACAAATTCGCGACGCGGACACCTCTTGCTTTTCCTACAATTCTGATAAAAAATTTTAGAGACTGATATTCGCACACAACGCCACCTTCCTGGAACAATCAGAAAATAAATTTGCTACCAGGATTACAGGAACGCGAACAGGTATACAAAACGTATGCTGCTCCAGATTCGAAATTGGCTGACATCTTTACAATTCCAACCGATAGCTGCTATACGCTCTTGCGGCGGACGATTCTGGCAATAAATGGCGCTTCCCGCCGTCTTATTTCGATAGATCTCATACCTTGGATAGAGGGTAGTTGCTATGATTTCGTTCGTTGGTCCAGAGACCAAGTCTAGACCATGCCGACGAGTCGACAAAAAGCACGAAACAGCTGTCCATGGTTGGCTGTTTTTGGACGGACGGACGAAAGCAGCACGTTTAGTTCATTTATATTGCTATGGAAGGACTTTTTGATGCGAGTAAAAAAGTGGCAAGATTGTTCATCTACTCACAATCATAACATTGCCCGAAGTGACACATGATATAGCGACAAAAAAATCTACGGGTCAACTGCGCACAACAACCGTTGATAAATAGTTTATCGACAGCGCAAAACTTCGTATTCGTCGAATTTTTCAACACAGTTTATTTTTTCATGATGTTTGTTGGATGTCCGTTAACAGGAATCGAGAGGTTGTCGGACGGCAAAATTTTTGTTTATACCGAAGCAGTCACGTATTCAGAAGCCTAAAAACGGGACGCCGTGACTGCTATGAGGAGCTTAAAGAAACTTTGCTAATCCTAAGGTTGGTGCACTGAAAAAAGCCTCCTCATATAGATAGTTCCACAATCTCGATAAGAAGGAGCGGTCGTATCAACCGGTTCTGGATATATGAAGTCTACCGGGGAGCAAAGCCTGTCGACATAGTGGTAGAACAGAGCTAGATCGCTGACGACCAGTCAGTCCGAAAGGGTCGCAAAGTTCAGTTTTTTATGTAAGGAATCAGCCGCGCAGGCAGAAACCTAAATGCCAGGGCACCGCGGCTGCTATGAGGATCTCAAAAAAAAACTTAATACAGTAATAATCGGAGACGATTTTCGTTGAACTTCCAACAGTTCATGCAACACTACTATTTCTTTTCCCTTCCAAGCTTACACATCTTGTCCAAATTCCTACGCAGTCGCTCTAACTGATGCAACGTTTCCGGCTCAAACTGTGATATGAGGAGTATCAGGAATGCCCATCTCGGGTAAAAGACTGCCATTATCCAGGGGGATGTTTAAGTTGACCAAATTGTCGTCCACATAGGCACTAGGCATCAACGGACTGCCTTATTGAGTCAAGGCCACCTCGCCACCTCTTGGTCTTCTCAGTCTCAGCTACGGTTGCTTTGTTTTGCAGTAAACTACAGGAGCTTTTCCGCCTCTCTTGCCCAGTCTGTTTGTCAATGGCAATTCTCTAATTTCCTCAATGGTCATGTTCCTGAATTTCTGAGGTATTACAATCCTATCATAAATGTCGTTTTCTTGAGATCATGCTGTCTACATCTTTCTTTAAGTTCCTTTGTGATTCTGCCTCTTGAGGCATTTTCTGATTCGCCAGGTTCCTGTTCAGGAAATACCTTCTTTCTAGTTCTAGAGAGGAAGTCTGCTGCTAGTCTTTTTTTCTCTAGCTTACCGGTATAGATTGGCTTGTCACTCTCCAATTCCTGTATGCAGAGTGCTGTCATCAGTAAAGATGTGGATTGAATTGATCATAGGGGAAGGAGTTTGTTGATATGTAAGACGAACAATGTCAGAGCCAAGACCGCCGATCCCTGGGGAACATCCGCGTTGACATTGTGGCTGGTGACGAGCCCTACTTTTTTTCCCCGCGTCTCGTCACACGCCAGTAGCCTGCTGGATCTCTTTCTCACCACGCATCCTGCCCCTTACAGCACTGCCGTCCTGTCCCCCCTGGGTAACTCAGATCACGGTGTTGTGGAGGTTAGGTTTCGGTCAGAAGCCGCTGTGGCCGCAGAAACTCGCACAGGCCGCAAAACTTGGCATTACGGACATGCCGACTGGGAGGGGCTCAGAGACTTCTTCTCTAGCTTTCCTTGGAGAGATGTCTGTTTCACTGACGCGGATGCGTCGACTGTCTGTTCTTCAATAACCGAAATTATCCACGTCGGAATGGAGGAATACATCCCTCACACAGTGAAAGTTCCTAAACCAGGGTCCAACGGCTGGTTCAACAAATCGTGTGACACTGCTCGCCAGCAGAAGATCAAGGCCCACAGAACCTACTTACAAAACCCCACTGTAGAGAACAGACAAGCCGACGTCGAGTCCAGAAACAAATATAACGAAGCGGTTCGCAATGCCAAAACCCAGCATGATATAAAAGTTAGGCACAGGGTAATGTCTCAGCGCAATGGCAGTCGGTCTTTCTGGACGCTGGCCAAGCAGATTGAAAAGAACTTCTCACACAGTAGCCTTCCACCACTTACGTGTCAGGATGGAACTATTGTATTCGACTCAAAGGCCAAGGCGGAAGTGCTAGCCAAGATCTTTGCTGCCAACTCCACCATGGACGTCCCCACCAACGCCCAAGTGCCGTCAATTCAAAGGGTTCCCCACACTATGCGGGAGGTAACATTCAGGCATAAGATCGTAAGACGAGTGCTCTTGTCGCTCGACATTTACAAAGCTTCTGGTCCGGACTTGATTCCTGCCATTGTACTGAAGAGATGTGCAGCTGAGCTTGCTCCAGTTCTTTCGCGTCTCTTCCAGATATCTTATGAATCCGGCACCTTCCCAGAAAACTGGAAATTTGCTCATGTACAGCCCATCCCAAAAAAAGGATCTAAAACCGACCCTTACAACTACAGGCCTATAGCTCTGCTTTCTGTTATCAGTAAAGTGATGGAGAGGTGCATAAATCGCGAGCTTCTGGACTACCTCGAACGTCACAGCTTGATTAGCGACAGGCAGTACGGTTTCCGGCACCAACGATCCACAGGGGACCTCCTAGCTTACGTCACGCAACTGTGGAGTAAACTCATCCAGTCTCATGGTGAGGCTC